CACAGGGGGCACTGTGGAGCTGAGACTCGAGACCCCGGACCAGTCCCAGTCACTGCTGTGCTTCTGCAATCCAGTTCCGGCCAACGTCGTTAAACACAGGCCAAGCGATTTCAGTTTTTCAGATTTCCTATAGAGTAAATAGGGATTTATAATTGATATTAACTCTACCAACATCTTAGTTTCAGATCTGGTCAACAGATCGAACCCCTGCTTATGGAGGAGGGAAAAAATGCTCGCTGGGAGACTCCGGTGCATTGTCATCCCCACCTGTGTCTGGTCATCAGGAATTGGTCATATGTTATTTGCCCTTGAACCAGGGTGTTTTTAATGCAGAAATTAAAACCACCCTAAAACATCTGTAATGCAAATGAGTAGGTGCAGAAACAATTATAAGTCAGTTGCATAATTCAATTGGCACTATTTAATTTATACAGCTTGCTCCAAGGAAATACCACTCGCTACTTGTGTAACTGGTGGATCTACAAATCTCCCCTTTGCCGAGCTGAGGGTTAATTCTACAGTAACCTTTGAGCTAGTGATGATGGCTTTTTTGTTATGTTTTTACAAGCTGCAAAAAAAAACAGCACATTGACAGTGAGGTGACATAGACCAAAGTTAAGCTTTTATTCTTTTGTGAGAGGTGTCTGAGACAATCATGTGATCAGGTGTACAGTTAGCCGAGCACAGAAAAAACAGAATGACATTATTCTGCACACAATGAAAGGTTGATGTAACCACATTTTTGCTTATTGTGTGAAATATAAAGAACGTGCAGCAATACAGCTGGCCGCTGTAGTTTAAAAAATAAAATCTGGGAGTAATACGGTATACAAAATGGGCATCTCAAAGTCCACGAAAACAGTAACCTCCAACCTGCCAATTGGGGTACCTTGGTGCTATGTCCCATCTAGTATGTAAAAGAAATCCCATTTTCAATGCATACAATCGCCAACCTTTTTACATCAGAATGAAGAGCTGTTTAACATCTAGACCTGCTGTTTGCCAACCTAAAATGTTTGACCTGAGTAAATTGACCTGAGTAAAGCTGCAGGCGTTAGGAGTGTCTGATGCTCGTCCCACAGAGCAGCATTGTCTCCTAGTTGTCCTCCCTGCCCATTTCCCAACTGTTTAATTGAATCAATGATCTTCAGCCACTGTTCAACACACGCACAGCCTGAAAGATCTGGGCTCGGCGGGACCTCGGTCAGAGATGCACAGAGGTCACACAAGCCACACAGAAACCACTCGTGTTCCAG